CAAGCGCTGTAAACAACCCTACTGAGAGGAGAAAAGTACCAAGCTGAAAGAGACGACTGTAAATGAGAGCTGCTGCTTTGTTAGACAAATTTAATTTAATTTGGAAGCCTTATCAACACGGACTGGCTTCATTCACTTCCTCCACTGCCGTATGTTAAAATAACTGGCAGACACTGCGCAGAACATCGACGTCATTCAAAACTCCGCCTTCTGTTTGTTGATTGGCCCAGGTAAAATAAATAAACTACAAGCTGACACTGCGCAGGAAATCGACATTTTGTTCTCTGATTGGTTTGGCTAAAAATCTGCCAGCGAAATCCTTGTCTATGGGAGAAATGCCAGATGGAGCAGTGAAGSGAAACTAGAATTAAGCGGAGCTGCGTAGGAAGGCAAGGGCCAGGCTACCATCATACATTTGAAATGAAAAATATTTTGAAAGCCTCTACACACAACTGCACTCATTTTAAAAAGACTTCCAATATTAAAAAGTGAGCAAATGTCAAATATCCAGGATAACAAGACAAATAATCTTACGCATTCTGCTAACAAGAATTTAATGTTACACTTTCTGTTCTTGTTTAGTAAATCAGTCTCAAAACAAGATCAAAAAGATATTTTTTGGCTGGATATATGATTTTAAATCTTGGTTAAATGGACAGTTTTTGCAGTGCAAACCAGGCCAATTCTGTCATCACTTCTCCATAAAGTTACTACAGGAAATAAAGTGCGTACAATACCACCATCATCTGAATTCAGCTACAAAAAGTATTTTAAAGACCAACAAAGGTTAGTCAGTTCCGTCAGTGGATTAACTCCACTCAGGACCACAATCACAGGCAATGTCGATGTTTCCCTCTTCACCGAGGGTCCGGACAGAAACACCTTCTCTGCTGAACCTTTACCCATCATCTTTACTGAACCCCTCGCAGCAACAATAAGACAAAAAGTAAATAAAAAGCAATTCAACATAGCAATTCAGAACATAAAAGTTAGTCTTTATGCCGATGATTTATTATCGTATTTGTATACAATCTTAACACAAAAACATTTAAATTACCAATAAACATTCCAAAATCAAGACTTTTTACAATACACAAAAGAGCAAAGAAGGGTCTTAGCAGTACAATCTGTCCTTGCTTCTTGTGAACTGGAAAAATTTAAGTGAGTTATCAACTTCTATTTTTGGTGTGTGGCTGCATCTAGGCATTGATTGATTGATTGATTGATTGATTGATTGATTGATTGATTGATTGATTGATTGATTGATTGATTGTCGCAAATGAGAAATAAATTTGCAGCATGTCCACATATCAAACAAAAAAGTTTACGCGAAAAAAAAGAGCCACGAGAAATGTGCCTATTAAAAACTGGGCTGCCATGTCAAAATCCAAGATGACCACCACCATGTAAACCCTCCACCTTTTTTACTTGATTAAACTTTGCTTTATAGCTTTTCTTTTGCTTAGAAGTAGTTTCCTGAAATAAAAAGGGGTGGTCAGTGGGATGGTATATTAACCTATGGTGGGCAAGACCACCATTAATCGCCCCCCGGCACCACCATTGTTGGTGGATCAAACTGATCCCTCTGCTTGCCAGGATCCATCACTCTGCGCTGCCTCAAGCAAGAACAAACTCAGGACTTACCGGTCTTCTTCAACACACTTTCACTCCTACCTGCTTAAACATCATGAGCTAAAATCATTAAGCTTTACTTGCACTGCCTGTTCAGATCTGTTGTTTTGAAAACCACTAACATTCACAATTTAACTCCTTCATCTATGGGGGACCACCAGTGTTCACTAGTTGTTCCACTTTTTAGTAAACTATGGTGCTCTTCAGTTCTACAGCTGTCAACCTGCTGCAGCAAGGTCCGGTCCAGTCGGTGCCGTGAAGAAGTGGTACACATAGATAAACATTTTGATGCTCAAAAACGCATTTGGTGTGAACGTAGCGTTGCAGTTTTCCACCTGGTTCTAACTTCACGTTGTTCAGTTGTCAGACAGTCACAGCTGATCTGCTCAGAGCCAGCAGGTGGACAGGTCACAGTACATCAACACTCATCAGCTGTGCTGGAAAAAAGACTCCAGTCTGCTCACAAAGAAATACCTCTGCTGCTTAGATATTTCAGCCAGCGCTTCACTATGGTCACCATAGTACCCATGCATCTGTTTCTCTCACTCCCTGACTTCCAAGTTATTGACATGCAGAAACAAACTGAAAATAGGCTCTGTCAATGTGTAAAATCCATAACTTGGAGCTTTAAAGGGATCCCTGTTTAGTTGTAACAGTAGACTATTTGATAAACATTTATTTTAACAGTAAAAATACTGTAGGATGTTTAGTTTTGTAATTTTTTAAAATATATTTTAACACGGACGGAGCCATTTTTTTTACACACAAAGCATTCTGGGTAAATGATGACGTGGATAGGTCCTCGGTGTGAGTGAGCTATTTCCACCCTGAAGGTTAATCTTGGACAATATCTGATGATCGACACTTTTAAATGAAACCAGCCTGCAACTGAAAATATGGATGGAGGACAACAGAGCTGCTTCATGGAAGAAGAACCTCAGCTTAGCCTGTTAGCCTTTGCGCTAGTGCCGACGCTATATTGCCTTTTATGTATTAGCTCAGCGCTAGTGCGACAAACAAGCTAAACTGTTGTCCTCCATCTGTGTTCTATGATATCAAGTCCTATGAAACTAAGGTTTAAAGTGGAACTTATTTAATC